AAGTGCCCTTGTTGCTGAGCAAAAGCGCGTTGAAGTCTTTGGGAGCTGTCCTTGATTTGGCAGAGGGAAGGCTTGAGTTGGCTGCCTTGGGAACAAGAACTAAGTTGGTGGAAACGGCCACTGGTCTTTGCGGGTTCGAGATTAACCGATCTGTTCCTAAGAAACACGATAGCTTTCCCTCCACTGGCGTACTCCTGCAAGACCTGGAAGTAGAGGTGGATAGTCAACAGGACAGCAATCGGAAGGATCAGAGCGGAGTGGCCCATCTTTGTCATCTAGGGGAAGTCGGTCCCCAGGTAGTGACACAGACCAGGTCACAGGAACAGGGCAGCAATCTGAAGGATCAGAGCGGAGTGGCCCGACGAGAAGAGGCGGGACCAGATGATCCAGAGAGATTGGCGTCTGCCTTGATGGTTCAGAAAGACTTTTCCTTTGAGGCTCTGCGTCGGTTAGTGGAGGCCATCCCCCTGAAAAGCACCAAGAAACATAGAGACTCTCAAGGTGGTAGAGGGTGTAAGATTCAAGGGATGGTAGCCGGTGTGTGGGCTCATGGGTCCCAGTATGGGATTGCGAAGACAGCTAGCAAATGGCCGAAGAGCATTGAGTACATAAATCGCTTCATGAAACTTCACGGGGGAAATCAGTGGTCATCGTTTCTGCTGGCGAAAAACGTCAAGACCCGGACGCACAAGGATAATCATAACGCTTCTGGATCAGTCGTCAGAACGGTCACTTTCGGAGACTTTCAGGGAGGTGAGCTGTGGGTCGCTGCGAGTGAGGATCAGTTTCGAAACGACAAGTCCCAGATTCATTGGAGAAAAGATCGACATGGGGTAAGACGGCCTGGAGTTCTTGTGGACACCCGGGAAAAGCCGTATGATCTTGACCCGAAAATAGATCATGCCACCCAACACTGGAAAGGGGGAAGATGGTGTCTCTCCATCTATACTTCCAGAGGCGCAGAGCACATCGATGAGGAGGATCGCAATCAGTTGAAGAAGCTTGGTTTCCCAAGCAAGGGAGTGTCAGCAGCCAGGACCTTTGGGGTGAACATAACATCACATGACCTTCAACATAACCGGGAGCCGCGTGAAGAAAGAGAGGGTCATGGTGGTAGGGAAAGTCAACATACTCCGCAGCAATCTCATTTCAGTGACAGCGTGAAGTGCACTCCGCCAGCATCAGAAAGGCAAGATGGCTTCCCTTCTGGCTCCGAGGAGGAAGAACGAGTACGCCAGCGCCATTGCCGCCAGGACGAAGGTCACCGAGGCCGCGTTGATGGCTCACGACCTCAACCGTCTGAAGGCGATCTGGGATGTGGTGAAGCCGAAGAAGAGGGTCTCCCTGCTTCCATCGAATTGGAAGAAGAAGGACCTGGAAGGTCTGAAGGAGATCTACAGTGGAACTGTAGTCCCACACATGGAGTTGCCGGACGACAAGCATTGGAGCAGATGGGGGAAGGCCAAGCTGATACTGGAAATTTCGACGTGGGAAGATCAGGTCAAAGAGTCGGCAGACCCGCTGTTGGACTACAGCGACTTGTTCGAGGAATATCCTCTATGCGAAAGCTGTGGAATTCCTCTCACGATCCGATGCAATCGCCTGACTCACGAAGAATTCTTCGGATGTCTGAGGTTTCCTCTGTGCCGAACCACATTGCCACTAAATTACAATGGGCGTCCGACTGGAAAAGTTCAGAAGGAGCTGATCGCCAAGAAGGAGGCAAGCCACATGACCTCCGAGAAGGGCAAGGGGAAAGAAGAGTATCCGCTCTTTCGCCCCCGGGGCCGGACTCGCAAGGCAGACGAGAAGCCGACGGCGACCCAAGCCACTTCGTCGGACGGTTCGTGGATGAGGACGGGCGGCATGCCACGAGATCTCCTCCAGCGACGAAGCCAAATTCAATGTGAACTTGACCAAGGAGGAGATGGACGAGATCATGATGCGCCGAAAGGGCAAAGGAGATGGCAAGAAGGACCTGAAGCAGGAGGCCGGCGCGGAGGTCAAGAAGTGAGAAATGAGCCTGCAGGGTCGCCCCAAGCCCTGAACGATTCTCCTGAGGATCAAAGTAGTGAGAACGTGGCTGCAACCAAAATTCCTTTATCAGCTGATGAAGTTAATGCCAGGATTGCTGAGGGTAAGCGACGAAGAAATCGGATGGCTAGGAGGTTTCTTGGCAATGCCAAGAACTTAGCTGTCAGTGTATTGATAGCCACGGCCGCGGCTATTGGGGCAACAGCACAATGCGTTCCTCATTTTGCTCAGGTGAGGCCAGATGTTCTCGAGATTTTTGCCGGAAGAGCACAGGTTACTCAATCTTTTGCGAGATGGGGTTGGCATGCTGCTAGACCGGTTGATATAAAATGGGGAGATGACCTCTATCAAGCGGATCAGCGTGTTCACTTGCTTGAGTGGATTGATCAGCATCGGCCTCGCCTAGTGATTGTGTCATACCCTTGCAAACACTGGTCCATCCTGACAAATATGCAATACAGCACTCCCCAAGAGAAGAGGCGACTGCAAAAGTTGAGACAGAAGGATGGAGTCTTGCTTGAGTTTGTTGAACAAGTGTTTGCACGGCAGCTTGATCAGGGTGATGACGCACTGGCTGAAAAT